AACAATAAAAAAAAATCCTGCTTTTAAGAAACTTCCATTCTAGTAGGGGTAGAGACACAACAAATTAATTAATAAAATGTAAGTATACAGTATATTGGAAGGTGATAATTATAATGTAGAAAAACAAAGCATAAAGGGATGATAAAGATTGCTGGTGTAGGACACTAGGTGGACAGAACTTGGTCAGTAAGGTTGTCACTGAAAATGTGACAATGGCACAAGGGCGTGAAGGAGGTGACCAAAGGATTCATGTAATTATCTGGGAGAAAAGCTTTAGAGAAGGCCAGCAAGAGTACGACTATCATGTTGGAGGAATTTTGAGGAGCCCATAGAGCACTGAGCAGATATGACTTTGTATTGTGTTTCTGTTCATACCTTAATAACTTCTTGTCACTCATGGAAAAAGAACATATCACAAACATGTTTATATCCCCAGAGTCACAAGAAAAAGTTGTCTTTTGTTTAAATTCTAATGGGAGGTTCTTGGGGAACTTTGCGAATCTGTGTTCTGAGCAGATTCCAGAAAATTGGAATTTCCTAGAATCCAGACAAATTAGAAGGAAAGCAAGAAGCTCCTGTGTAACAGAAGTCAGTATATACAAAGAGTACCAGCTAAATAGTCCAGCTACCTCCCAAGCCTGCATTAATTTACAAATTATCTTATCATTTTGAACCTTGAATATTTGAGAACAAAGATCAAGCAACAAATGTTCTAGTGTTGCAGCAATGTGCGAGCATGCACCCTCAGGTATGTCTGAAAATGTTAGCTCGCATTATTAGCTTTTGTCATAGTTGTTATGAATCTTATTTGCATTTTGGAGGGTCATACATCTTAAAAGTGTTATATCAAGGTAACTGTAGATATAGAAGTGATTCACCCTGACATCAGTCTTGATGTTGAAGACTTCGACATTGGTGGCTAACTTTGAGACTCATTTCTAAAACTAAGGTACATGAAAACACGTACCATTAGAAAAAAATCCTTTAGTAAATAGATTTTCTCTAAGGTATGTTGAACATCAGTAACTGATTGTTCAATGAATTCCTGAGACTCAGTTCTAAAACTAAGGTACATGAAAATACGTACCATTAGGAAAAAATCCTTTAGTAAATAGATTTTTCTCTAAGGTGTGTTGAACATCAGTAACTGATTGTTCAATGAATTCCTCCTCTACTGAGGTGTGATGTGTGGGAAGAGAGTCGAGGACTCTCAGGGGGACCAGTGCTCTACCAGGTGTCACCTGTGCTTACACCTGCAGTGGCTCTGAGTGAGGTTAGAAGCAGCCTGCTCGAGTCAAAGGAATCTACTTAATGCAGCACCAGGCCATGTTCAAAATGAGAAATGCCACTGACTCCCCTTCATAATTAGCACTCATTTATGGCGCCCCAATAATAAGCTATGATATTTCAGCCCCACATGCAAGCCACGGAAAGAAGTACTGTGTGTTTGATTGTTATTGCTTTCATTTCATGAAAGAAATGGGTATCGTACTGGCAGATCTGGGATATAGATATATCTCTCTTCCTGTCTCAAGATTATGTATTTAATCTCTCTGTGTTCCAGTTTCTTATCTATAAAATAGGAATAGCCTAGCAACTCACGCGTAAGGCTGTTGGCAAGATAAACTTTCAAATAAAATTTATTGGGACTTAGTTTTCCCATGTCTAAAATATTAACATTATATTTTCCTTCTGCGTTCAGAACATTTAAATGCTTAGATGTATGTTTTTAAAAATCTGGGGAACACGTGGACTGCATTGAGGTTGGACTGCTAAATAAAGTAGTAACACCTTGAGTTTCTGGGTTTTGTCCAATAGCTGAGAGTAAGTTGTTATCTGTCATGGTTAAAAACTCCAAGCTTGTGTATAGAGATGGCTCCAGTTGATGGCAATAATGAATACAGTGTGGTATGAAATGTGCCAGGAAGATCTTTGAGGCAAACCATGGGAGACTCTGACATTGTATTTTTCAAACATCTAAAACATGTTTTTACGAAAACTAAATGTCTTTTCAATGTTGATATGATTGAATTTGAGTATTACATCATGCTTTTTCTTTCATGGACTTCACGGACATGAGGCAGGAGCCATTATTTCAAAAATAAATGTTACAATCCAAAGCATAAGGCCACATTGAAAATCGGTGTTTTCATTGGCTATATCTCTGACATATTTTGATTTACGCCAGAAACCCAGCTTCAATTTGACTACCTTTAGAAGGTTCTGCAGGATCTAATTATGTGACAGTTAATCTAGCACTCTGAAAAATGTTCCTTGCATTATTTCTGAAGAGCAGCCTATGCATTTGAAATGTTTAAATTGGATGCAAAGACACCATTTCAGCGGAAAAGTGACTGGCTTATAGGTATGCAAAATAATAGAATAAAAGGTATAAAACTCTAAAGTGTTTACTAATGCATTTTTTTCTTATTTAAATAAAGCAACTACGCATTTTGGCTATACAGATAGTCTTTTTTTATTAAATGATGTTTTGGATCAGTTATAATACATGTGCAGTAGAAAAAAAGAGAGGAAACAGTGGAGAGAAGGGAAGAAAGTTAGTGGTTGAGGGAGGAGAGGAGATGTGTGACGTATTACATGTCTTCCCTTACACCTAAGATTTGCTAAGACATTGCTGGCTGCTAACAGGTGTACCTGACCATACACTTGAAGGTTCCCCTTTATTCTAGCTCATTGCTTGCTCCACTATATACTGGTCATCTTCTATTAGTCATGTTGTCAGTGATCAGGTTTCTCCAGTTCTCCTTGACCTTGGTTAATGGGAAGAACTGCATTTAAATGAGCATAAGAACAATGTAGATAGTAGTCCTTGATTCATACCTGTGGCATCCTCAATAATAGTTTAGGAGAGCTAATTATCAGTAACATGAAAATTCCTGTAGACTTGTGGCTGTAGGAAAGCTGAGACTTCAGTGATCTCTCCTCCATGCTCCACTATTATAACAAATGTTTAAATATGTATGTGATCAACATTATAAAGTAGGGAGTAAGAATCTTCATCATATTTCTAATAACCTACGTGTTTGACTTACAATATTATAAAAGACCAAATAACACACCAGTTAACAAAGGTAAATTATTGTTTTCCCCATCATCTCTACTACCATTACAATTAAATTTTTAATTATTTACACCTTTAAAAATCACATCATAAACTATGCAAATAAACCTGAGCAGATTATAGGAGACTTCTCAAACTTTAGTGTGCTTAAACTTTTCGAAGCAAAATTTATTGAAAATTGAGATTTCTTTAAATTCTATTTATAGAATTTTTGATTGGGAAGTCTAGGATATGATCCAGAAATTTTCCATTTTAGTAAACACTCAGATGATTCTCAGGTTGTGAGTGCTCAGAGAAATACTGTTGTAGAATATTTGAACATATCGTCAAGGTGAAATGGGAAATTTGGACTGGAAACATGCGGTGTTGCCCAGGGCAGGGTGGTTTCCTGGGCTCTTTGTCCGGTGGAATCAAAGAATGAAACCACGGACTGAAGATGGTATAGCAAAGATGGAAATTTATTGAGAAACAAGCACGGACTCCCCGGTGGGGAGGGGGAAGAGTCCCACTGAGTCCCTTTTTTCTATGGTTTATAAAGACCGAAAAATCTTTGTGCCTTGATATCCTCTCTGATTGGTCACTATTACCCTTTGATTTTGTCACTATAGCAACTCCTGAGCTCAAGTTTCACCTGAATTACTGAGGTTCCCTCCTTCTTCTCCCTTATTGTTCTCCTATTCTCTCTAGGCTTTCTTCCTCCTTCCCTTTATTTTGTAAATGTGTACCTTTTGCTTCTCCCACCTCCCTTGTCATATGGAAATGTACCCTTTGCAGCTCTATAGCCCTGTGCTTTTCCCATGGACCCCTTATTTCCTAAAATTTCCTAAACCTGCCTATTTCACCCCTAAAAATTCCTTTGAAAAGGTTCTCTTCCTTAGAACATAGCAGAACCACCCATGAGTTACAGTAGTCATTTACAAAGGGCTAGGTCTGTGCCAGGCATCTTTCTCAGTGCTCCACCCACATTCACTTCCTTAACCCTCACAGCCCAGGAGATGGACACTGGTATCATCATTAGCACCTTACGGTGGGGCTCTGATACAAATCCCATTCTGTCCTTTACTAGGGGCGGATGTTTGAGGAACAAATAATCACAAGCTCCTTAAAGAAGTGATCACATCTAAAAAAAAGGGAGCAACCCCGAACCTACCCCTGGGAGGATTAAGGGGAAAGCACTGGAAACAGTCCCACATGAGACAGATAAGTGAAATAAACAACAAACAAACACAAAAACATTTCCAGGAACTTCAAATACCCCGAACAGCCAGAACAAGCCACAGTACACTTCCTGTCTTTTCTGCTGGATGGATGCTCAACCTCCCCTTCATCCTGTAAATTATCAGTGGAAAACCAAGTAGAGAAGGTACCCAACAGTTGACAGCTACAAATCACCATTTTCTTTCTAGTTGCTTTTTAGATGATAATCATTAAAAACAAACAAAAAAAAATCTAAAACAGTACAACCATGTTTGGAGCCAGATTATAACAAATACCCGGGATTATTTTTCTAAAGAGCAAAATAAATCCGTGATATAGATTTCTCTTTAAAATAAATAACAATATATTTGGAGGGCTTGGGGACTGCCCAGAGCTGTCACATATCAATAAGCCAAGTGGGGATAGTGAGGATACACATTGACTTCACTCAAGAGACTTTAAGGAGTCTAATAAAAGAAACCAGCAGGAAGGCGGTGGCTAGAGATAAGACAACCAAGATGGAAAGGAAAAGGGAATGTCTTAAAGCGCCAATTAAGTTTAATGTTTCGAACAAATGGACAATCTCAAAAAGATTAGCTTGACTTAAATGGTTCCTTGAAATGTTTCTACTCTGTGGGCTAAAACCTTGACAAATGAAACAATAACTTTGACTTTAGTTTGCAAATTTGATGCTTATATTGATTTTTTTTGTCTCATAAAGTGCTTGCCATTGAATACCATAATGTGCCTCGTGATTACCACTTATTCCTTCATGGGCTTCTACTACCCTTAAATTTAGTCGTCTGTCTCCTTTTAGTGAAGAATTGTGTCAGCATTTCTTTGTCTACTTCGGCATTAGCCCATGTATCATGCATTTATTATCCATTTGTGCCTGTATCACCGTCTGTCTTTAAAAGTGACAATTTATTTTGAAACCCCTTGTAACAATATTTAACCACTGAACCTTCTAATGACTTCCTCTGCCCGACAAGCCAAGCGCATTCAGAGTTGGGGGAAAGCCTGGTGCATGAAAACCGAATTGAAATGGCAAATGACTGCACCTTTCCCACTAAATAGCCTGCCTAATGGATAGCACCAAAAGAAAACCCAGCGCCTGTGTCTACAGCAAGGAAGGGCCCCTAGTTTGTGTATAATGAATATGAGAAGGCAAGTGACACATTCAGTTGGATGCAGGAATAAGTGTTGACAAGGATAAACAATAAAAAGTAATCCTTCCTCTGTTGCAATGAACACTTTTGATCAAACGGGTCTTTTATACTGGGGGCATTGTGGAGAACTGTGGGGGATGTGCAGGGTTCTGTGTTTGCCCTGAGAATATACAGCATCCATCATTCATCCAGCTCTAATTAGATCGTTATTGTGCATGCCTTGCTCATTTTAGAAAAACTAGTTCACATTTAGTCTATGGATAAGCAACAGTCCTCAAAAAAATAATGTTTTGTCATTTATTTAATCCCTAATGTATGCACCATACTGTCCTGGTACTATGTGTTTGCATAATTTATCACATTCATTTGAAAAATATCTTCTGATATTCCTTTAGCTAAGGTCAGTGATAAAAATTGTCACAGTGTACATGACAGATTTGGAGTGTAAAAAGTTCACACTAGCTAAGTCCCAGGATTGGTATTTGATTAGAAAATTTTAGTTCCAACGTAGTGGTGGAGAATGACTTGAAAATTATGGATTTGGAATTACTTTTCTACCTCTTTGGCCTAATTTAACATATTTTATGATTAACTAGAGGCCCAGTGCATGAATTTTATTGATTTTAGAGAGAAAGAGAGAGGGAGAGAGAGATAGAAATATCAATGATGAGAGAGAATCATTGATCCACTGTCTCCTGCACCCCCCCATACTGGGGATCAAGCCCACAACCTGGGCATATGCCCTTGACCAGAGTTAAACCTGGGGCCCTTCAGTCCATAGGCCAATGCTGTATCCCCTAAGTCAAACTGGCTGGAGCTCAATTTTTTTCTTTCAAACATGGAAATGGTAGATTAAACTACTAGGATTTGGTAGGACATAATTACAAAGCAACTAATTTATATTTCAGCATTTTATATTAAAATTATTCTCCGGAATAATTATTTCCCTAACCCCAGCAGAAATTGCAAGTAGTTCTCCTACTCTTTGTGGTAACTTGTAAATAAATACAAGTCTAATAATGAAACCATAACTCCACATTCAGGATTTCTGTCACTATCTGGTTGGGGTCCAGATGGAAGGGATTATGGGTAATTGACACCAGGACAGTACAGTAGTGACCTGGCTGGTATATGTGTGTTTTTAAAAAGTATATTTTTATTGATTCCAGAGAGGAAGGGAGAGGGAAAGGGACATAGAAACATCAATGATGAGAGAGATTCATTGATCGGCTGCCTCCTGCATGCCTCACACTGGGGATTGACCTCGAAACCCGGGCATGGAACCCTGACCTCCTGGTTCATAGGTCAATACTCAACCACTGAACCACACTGGCTGGGTGAAATCAACAACATCTTGCCACCAGCAGGTGGCTTACCCATCACCCTCCCATAGCCTGGGCTTTCAGCTTCCATCCCTTCCACTGAAATCTCTTTTCCCTTTCTTATGGCCCCTTTGGGCCGAAGCCCTGCTCCGCCATTGGTGAAAGGTGAGCTTTGTTTTTCTTTTTCTTTGGTAACTAAGCCAACATGTCACAGGACCCACGCCAGTCTCTTCCTGTCTTATTAAAGCTCATTTCATTTGGCTTGGGTAGGGAGACACACACCCTACCCTCAGATGGTGGGATGCAAAGAACAATGATGTTTCTTGCCAACATATATTATCACTTTTATACCCTCAAGGTAGACTGAAATAATATGGAACAAACTAGTTTTATGATCTGTAGGCATGTCCTGTGCAATATTAGGGATAGAAATTTAGGATGTGCTGAGTATTTGCACGTGCATTTACCTTGGTCTCAGCTGCTTTTGAGACAGAAAGGACTTGGTTGTAAATGTTACATGCAATCTGGTTTACAGACAAATCAGTTCCTGCTTTTTTCATTTAACATTGCATTGAGTATTTTTTATATTGTGAGAGGAAAATATAAATATATCTTATGACTGTGTAATAATGTATTGTAAGAAAATTTCACATTTTAATCTATTCCCATAATATTATCACTTTTATCAATGTTAAATATGTCATTAATAATCCTTTTAGGATATAAAGTCTTATCTATTTTAAAATTACTTTTTAGGATGGGCTTTATGAAATAGAATCAGGGGATCAAAGGATATGACCATTTTAAGACTTGCTATAATCTGTAAAAGTTTTTAGAACCATTGAAGTGAACTTACATTGTAATCAGCTAAGTTTGGTGATACTCAATTCATTACACTCTGACAAATAGTGAATGTTATTTCTCTATGCTCATTTAATAACCAACTTGCTAAAGTTTCACATTTCAATCAGTACTTTCACAGTTTTATTTTTTGCATGTATTTTCTAAATTGTACTATCAGCTACAAAATGATCATATTTTTTCTTTAAACTCATATATGCTATAACTTTCCCTGTTTTCTATCTTATTCCATTGGACAGAATTCAGGCAACAGTGTTAAATTATTATGGAGAACACAAGGGCAATCGAATGAATTTTGATGCTAAGTGGTAACACTGGCAACTACTGCCTGCCCCTTAGAACAGAACAGATGCCTGATTGGGAGGCCAGTCTCGTCCCCTTAGATCCTGAGATGTGCCAGCCAGCAAAGTCAGAATACCCCACCCCACCCAATCCTGACACCCTCCTCAGTAAGAAAGGTTCGTTTAGAGAAGTGGTGACCATGAAGCGAGGCTGTACTCTCTTCAGTTCACACTGGGGTTGAATAAAAAGGAATCAATAGAGAGATTTGGGGTATGTGAACTTTTCAGGCTACCTCTTAGTTGGATAACAGTGATCAGCTCTCAAATGAATTTTGCTCTGACGTTAAATTGGCATTAGAGTATTACCCAAATATGGGAAGAAGGGAGAGAGAGAAAGAGAGGGGGGGGGGGGAGAGAGAGAGAGAGAGAGAGAGAGAGAGAGAGAGAGAGAAAGCTAGAGCAGAAAAAAAAACTTGCTGGTGAGCAGCCTGCATTCCCATTGTGGAAACCACAGTGGAAAGCACTACAGGTTGGAGCTTGAGGCTCTCTGTGAGTCACATAGCAGAAAGCTCGGCGGTGGCTCACCAGTGCAGAAAGAGAGAGGAAGTGGTGAATCTCAGACTGGATACCCCATAGCACCCTCTGAAATAATCCAACAAACGTGGCAAACAGAAGAATTGGGCAATGTTAGCAGAATAGAAATGACAATCACCAGAGAAAGTTCTGTACCTCTCCCCGAGAGACCCCGTCTCACTCCCATCGGGATGCTGGAGTGATATGTAGTACAACTCTAATCTCCCCCAAACATATACGCATAAAACAAAAGACGCATTCCATATTTTGGGTGGATGGAAACAGGAAAGAGGAATTTCTAAATCAATGAGTTTTCAATCTTAACATGAATAGGACTGAGGCTGAAAGAATTCATGCCACCTGCATAATTATAAAATCTGACAGCAAAGAACGTGCTCTGTAAGAGAGAGCTCAATTTTCAGCATTGTTGGACTAAAACGGTTTTATCTTTATACACAAAGAAGTTATATTCCCCAATAAATCAGTTACATATGATCTTGATTATACTGAGAATACTTCTTCTTTGTTTCACTTTAAGAACATTTTAGACTGCGGGTTGAAACTAAGGTAGATATTTTTTACCATGTTACCTGCCTCTCTCCTCCTGGCACTGCCACTCACTATTTCCATTTGCTCATTTCTACCCTAAAATCTAACTTCTAGCTCAACATATCACCAGGATAGCTTTTAATAAATTTAACAGTTACCTGAACTTTACATTATTTGTGTTAAAATCTCATCTAATTTGACCTCTCTCCAACATTTTCTGTTGAAGAACCATTGACCATTTGCTCTCCTTGATTTGGGAAATTTCTCAATCTCATTTAATCCCTGACCTTTCCAGCTACTCTCCTGTCTGCTTTGCAGACATAATCTACATCAGGGGTCCTCAAACTTTTTAAACAGGGGGCCAGTTCTCTGTCCCTCAGACCGTTGGAGGGCCGGACTATAGTTTAAAAAAAAACCATGAACAAATTCCTATGCACACAGCACATATCTTATTTTGAAGTAAAAAACAAAACGGGAACAAATACAATATTTGTATTTGCATGTGGCCCACGGGCCGTAGTTTGAGGACCCCTGATCTACATTGTTGAGTTCTAGAAGGTTTGGTTTGGGCCTCTTCTCAAATCATTCCCTCTCTCTCTCTCTCTCTCTCTCTCTCTCTCTCATCAGTGAATTATTGGCGGTGACCTTAGTTACTGCCCATGGGCAGATGATTTAAAAATGTGTTTCTCCTATCCAAACTTCTTTAAACTCAAGATTGGGGTTAATTTTGTTAATGTTTTCCATTTACATCTTTATCTTCCAATTTATGAGATAATTCCTGGACTTTACCTTCCAGGTCTTTCATTGAATTTTTATTTGGGCAATACTAACAACTTTTTTTAGAAATTATTATTCTTATATTATACAATTCTGTACTCATTTTATAAATTTTTATTTGATTTTGGTATTTTTTTATTTTATGTTTAGCTTTTAGATTTATTACGGAGAGTTTGGGGTGGGCTTATATCTTTTTTTAAAATATATTTTTATTGATCTCAGAGAGGAAGGGAGAAAGAGAGAGAGATAGAAACATCACTGATGAGAGAGAGAATCATTGATTGGCTGCCTTCTGCACCCGCAACCTGGGCATGTGCCCTGACAGGGAATAGAACTGTGACCTCCTGATTCATAGATCAACTCTCAACCATTGAGCCACACTAGCCGTGCTGGGCTTATATCTTTTGCTAGCTCTGTGTTAAAATGCAAAAGGCATAAACTAGTTGCCTGTGTTTGGGCTTATTGGCAGGAGAAGGCAAAAATTCTGGGGAATACTAACTTTCAGCATTTGGTGGTCTTTGCTGTGGGGCCATGTTATTCATCGGCTGCTGGAAAACCATTCCATTCTCCATATGTTTTTGATGGACCTTTTTTTTTTAA